AATGCATCCCACTTGGGGTCTAGCAGGAATGATTACAAAGATATAAGGTGTTCAAAATCGAGATTTTTCAATTTCAAGATTTTTTTGTTTCGAAACTATTAATTATCGATGAAAATGGCTAGTATGTCCCTATCTCAACTTGCGATTCTACGACATTCAATTGGAACAGATACAGGGTGATCAGAATTCTGAATCTTGAAGCACCCTGTATTTTTCCCAATCAAATTCCAGTAGACAGTGAATCAAAAGTTAAGAAGGGACATGTAAACCGTTTTGATCGATAATGAATAGTTCGACACAAAAAAAATCCTAAAATAAAAAAATCTCGATTTTGAACACCCCATATCTCTGTAATCATTCCTGCTAGACCCCAAGTGTAACTCATTCATGAAATCAACTCCTCATTAAGAATCTGAAAATGCAATGGAATACAGGGTGTTCTATTCGAAATAACAAAGTTGCTAGTTGTTTTTGATAGAAGTAGCAACACTGAATCGATGAAAATATTTTAGAGGAATAGAGAATGTTCAATTATCAAAGTATCTCAATTTTCAAAATGTTATGTCTTCTCGTTCTCCAGATACTTCTAATAGGCCATCCACCGTGGATCTCTCTGTATAATAATTGTATTTTTTTGTCAACTTTTGAATAATACTACTATCGAAAGTAATTAATTTTCATCCTTATGGTGTTTCTTTCGAATGGACATTTCAGAACCCCTCTGAATTACCACATCCGTGTGATTTTGTACTATATGAAGGTGTGAATTGACACCACTGTACACGGCATTATCAAATTTCTAACAATATTGATGTAATATTGCTAATCAAGTGTTGATTCAATCGGAGTTATTTCTGCATGAAATCCACTTGATTGAAATTACACCCGAAAATTTCTCACTGTGTGCACTAGCCTGAAAAGAGTATTTGAAAAATGGTGTAGGTATATTTAACATGCACAGGAAAGTGTCCCTTTGGAACATAATATGTCATTTCGTTATCAGATGACGATCAAAATTTGCAGTCGGCTCTTGGACTGATATAAGAACATTGGATTTGAGCATGAGTTGCTATAGATAACCTTCACTTCTCATTTGAGAAAGAAAAAACGAAGTTGGTGCAGTCAGGTTATTATTTTGACAATAATCTCAAAGGGCCATCATCTTTTTTTCAAAGTCATTCCACTATCTCACAGTGTTAATTACAGACATTAAACTTGGTGATGGTTCATCGTCGGCCATTCATAGCATACTATTCGTTCCCAAGAGAATAAGCTACGGCCATAAAGGTAGCTATATAAACGCAGTTCATTATAAAAGTGTTAATTACATATATAATATGTGTGACCAAGATCTCATTCCTCAATCAGAAACTATATTATCAGAGTAGATTGAATAGTCTGAATTCTTGAGGGCATTCTTTTAAATCTTTTTTTCTACTCACATAACTAAAATGGGATTTAACGTACGGATATGTACCACGCTAAATGATCGATTAATCACGGATAGACGATCTGTGATTTATTCAAAATATTAAACACGTTACCATGGCAACACGATTTCTTAAACACATCACCATGGCAACACAGTTCATTAAACACAGCTTCAGCAATGTGAGACATGTCTGGCCTGTCAACTGTAGGAACCGTCAACTGTCAGTTTCGAATTCTGTATCAGAATTATTCAAACAACTTTCGTTTGTATCAGAATTCATCATTAAAAATATATGCGAAATGTGGACGAAAGTGAAATCGAAGAGAATGTTTTGGTACTTGCATATCTCCAAGAAGTGTAAAATGAGAGGCATCCATCTTTGAGAACAATTGATTTATTAAATAAAAATGCTAAATTAGAGAGAAAAAGGTAGCAATCGACGATCAATCTTTTTTGCCCTGGGCAACTCACTGACATGAGCTGGATTAAAGGTTTACTCCTAGGAGTCAGCTCCCTCATGACTGCCATCGGGGTTATTAGACAAAAATCATCGGCAAGGCCTGCATCGGCTGCCTCTGAGGGCTCCCTTGGAGGGTAATTTTGTGGCGTATCTAAGTGTTCTACATTGTATGTCTTACATTTTTATCATGTCCCATGTCCCCTTTAGAAGATTTTTGTTTATACACCTTGTATTGTAAAAATGTTTTTATTGAATAAATGGAATTGAAACGGTACTTGCATATCTCCAAGAAGTGTAAAAATGAAGTATCCATCTTTGAGAACAATTTATTTATTCTGCACTTAGCATGACAATAAATGTGAAACAAAAGTTAGTAATCAATGGACTGGACACATCTACAACCAATATCACTTATACGTGTCTCGCTGGTTGCATGCAGTTGCATCATGTATTATGTTCTCAATTCCCATTCCTTTCGAATTATTTTGTAGGCTAACAGGAATAGCAGGTATGTTGATGTAATTTTCGGAGTTGGTAGAAAAAGCATGGTATGTAACTAACGCGTTTATAAACTCTTCTAGACACTCGTTTATTGAACACTCGCTCCGCTCTGCTCCGCTCGTGCTTAAAATACTCGTTACTAAAAGGACGTTTATAACACTTGTTATATAATATACGATTTCCTCCCACATAACTAAAATGATATACAGGGTGTCCGCTAAAAGGAGGTCAATCCATTAACCACATATTCCTTAAACAAAAACAATATGAGTTTCTTGATATCATTTTTCATTTTAGCCCCTTCATATTCGGTATACAGGGTGTCAAAGTTGGAAATTAAAAACTGTTTTTTTCTAATTACTCGCGTATTTGATAAGATATTAATCTCAAAATTGGTACATTACTTCAGCACAAAGAGTTACATCGTGTGAGGAAAACAAAACAGAAAATAACTGTCAAATATTCAAGATACTGGGGGTCAAGTTCACACTTACCCCCATATTTTGTTTGTACGTGCGCTAATGACTTCCTATCTATTTTCCTTCGAGTGTTCAATCATTTTTGAGTATTTTTTGTTACCTGTCAAATTTCGAATGAATCATTTGTTTTTAAGATAATTCGAAAAGTACTGGTTATTGTTTGATGCCTATGCGGCTTAGGTGATCTCATAATGTTCACATACTCCTATTTATTTCGTCGAAATTGAAAGAGGGCGTATCTTTTTACAAAGGTGGATATATGTATGGTGAAATAGCTACCTCTTACAAAACCCTAGACATTTTTGTAGACCTCTGGCCTACTTGATTATGTCGAATTGTATCACCGTAGTAAGGCCGCGCAAAACTAACGCTAGATGGCGCTGTTCCCGAAGTGATCTTGCTACACAATGGTTGTTTTGTTTTGTTGATTACATTTACGTATATATTGATTCGTAATTTGAAAACATTGAGGAAAAGTGATTGATTTAATGAAAAAGACGTGAAGTTTTCATTATATCTGTGAAGTATATGTGGCACGATGTTCCCTACGCCATCTACAGTCAATCCGGTGCGGCCTTGCTACGGTGTTTCGCGGTCTACACGTTTTGGAAAGAAACAAGTGACGAGTGGTTACACCAGTCTATTTTCATCATGCTTTTTACGTACGAAAAGGTAAATATGGAAATTCCGGGTGCTTGGAGCAAATGTACTAAAATAATTTTTACAAAAAAAAAAAATTAAAAAGTGTATTGTATGTATTTTCTGGTTTCCACGAAAAAGGAAATCCTGTAATTTTCAGAGAACATCGTGAGAACCAAGGAAAATAGGTAGGAATTGGTGTTCTTCTTGAATTTCTGGAAGTTATATATGCCTCGGGAAACACCTCGATTTGAAATGTGTTCCAGAGCCTCGCTGTTCGTTGGATAAGTGAGTTTTCGGAAAGAGACGTTCTGCAGGTCTCCAAAGTGACCTCGAAAACGTGCGAAGCCTCAACTCGACGGGTTAATCTCGCGGGGACTGCCAAGATAGGAACAATTGTTGATATTTCAGAAGAGCATCGTCCATGAAAATATCTATCGAATAGAGCCAGATCGCCAACTATTCTACGGTGTTCCAGAGAAATGAGTGAGTTTGTGAGCGAGGCATCACCCATGCACGAGACGAATTGCCCTTTTTCAAACAGAATCCAATAGTTTCAGGGTATGTTTGGGTGCTACACTCCAAATATGGGACCAGTTTTCCAGGACAGGTCGGAACTGTGCCTTATAGATCATAAGCAGCTGACTGGAAGTGAAATAGCTCCTGGCCCGAAACAAAAAACCAAGTTTTTGGGATGCACTTTTAGCAATTGATCTCACGTGATCTTCCCAAGAAAGGTTAATGCTGATAGAAATACCAAGCATTGAAATGGATGTCTTTAAAGGTATAGTTATCCCTGAGAAGCTCTATAACAAGAATATACTGAGATTAAAAAATGTTTGTTGAATCATTAACTGATTTCCAAGAGCTTATATAAATTGAAGCCGAATGTGAAGCTTGATTTCAATAATTTGATTGTGTTTGAAGAGTCATTGTCATTCAACTCACAACTGAATAGTGATAACTCCATCGTCAGTTTTCCTTTTGAATTCGTTGTGTATGTTCCTTGATTCCAGCTTTTTGGGGTAAATGCATTGAGATGCTTATCTCTCAGCCACATAATAAAAGAAGCTTCCTCAATTCCCAATGTTAATCTCGAATCAGTTTCAACTGTGTCATGACTGTCATGCATGAAGTATAAAGCGGTGTAAAACCACCTCAGCTCGATCAATTGGTAACCAACAAAAGGCTATATAATTGAAAAACAGAGGAAACCGACTAATTACCCTAATAAAAGCACGAAACATGAAAAAGCAAGAGCCTCTTACTTCGTAGACTTGTAGTCTGCTAGGGTGGTCCCAAGCCCATAACCCATAACACAACAGAACCTTCGTGTGAGCTACAAGCTCCTCCCATGACGTCAGGGACCAATCAGATTGCGAGCTCTGGCGGAAAAAAGAACGCTCAATGGGTAGGCGTACCCACTCACCTAGAGGTAACCTGAACCCCACACCATCGTCATAGTTGGCTCTGGTCAGTTTGGGACGAGCGGTCATACAAATTTCGATTCATCTTTCAGTTTGTGCGGTGTGTCCTTTCTTGCGGGGAGACTGTTTTGGAGTGAGAGTTTTTTGAGACGTTCATGCGCAACGTGATTGATTGATTGACTTTCCGCGGTTCGCTTGTTTTTTTAATAATAAATGGCTGTATCTACGCTCAACATGTCGCCCTATTTTGCTGGATATCCTTTTCAAGGTAAGTTGAAGAACCTAGTAAAAAACGTATATTGAAGATTACATTATACGGATGAATTTGATTTGGGACCAGAATTCGTACAAGGACTCTCAGTATCAAGTAGTTTGCTATTTCTATATCATAAATGCCGAATAAGTAACAAGAATTCTTTTTCATCAAGTGCATTCCAAAAACTTGGTTTTCTGTTTCGGGCCAGGAGCTATTTCACTTCCAGTCAGATGCTTATGATCTATAAGGCACAGATCCGACCTCTCCTGGAATACTGTTTCCATATTTGGAATGCAGCATCCAAACATACCCTGAAACTGTTGGATTCTGTCCAAAAAAGGGCAATTCGTCTCGTGGGTGATGCCTCGCTCACAAACTCACTCACTTCTCTGAAACACCGTAGAAAAGTTGGCGATTTGGCTCTATTTTATAGAAATTTTCATGGACGATGCTCTTCTGAAATATCAACAATTGTTCCTCCCTTGGCAGTCCCCGCGAGATTAACCCGTCGAGTTGAGGCTTCGCACCCTTTCGCACTTTGGAGACCTGCAGAACATCTCTTTTCAAAGACTCGTTCATCCAACCAACAGCGAGACTCTGGTACACATTGCCAAGGGAGGTTTTCCTCGAGGCATATATCCTCCAGAAATTTAAGAAGATCACCAATTCCTACCTTATTTCCCTTGGTTCTAAAGATATTCTCTGAACAGGATATCCCTTTTCGTGGGCAAAAAACAAGGAATTCTCCTGAGCAATATGCTTTTCATTACTATATACTTCAATATAGTAGGTAGGTAGGTAGGTATATTCAATATCAAGATCAATAAGGAGGATTTACTGTGGTCGGGATAATGTTTGAAAACTTCTTGAGATCCATCAGCATTGAATTGTAGAACAGTGCAAAGTGTTTACCAGAGTAATTAACACACATTCATCTACAAAAACCTCTTCGTGGATGAGGTTGAGACACCACGAATACATGCTTATACATTTCAGAAAATCACCACTGGAAATATTATTTACCATAGAAGCTTTTCCACTGAGCTTCTGAATACATCATGATTGAATGATATCAAAATTCACATAAGTACTTATATTGGTTTATTTTAAACTGTGTGGACGACACTTGAGCTTTGTTTAGAGTGTCAAAAGTTGCTGTGAGGTGACACATATATACATATATACACGTCTTAAATAAGCTAAAGAAAAATCGAAGCTCTGGCTACATGATGGTCATGCCAAAACACACCACACTGTCACTACCGTATAATGATCAGCATTGTTTGTGGATTTTTTTAATCTTCTGAATACGTAATACAAGACTCTTACATAATGTATATTTCAGCGTCCAACAGTGTAATCCGGCATTCTCTGGAATGCCTAGTCATTTCACGTATTGCCTCTGAATTTCGTACACCGTTTGCCTAATAGTTTCAGGCATTCCCTAGTGTAATGACGGAAGGAAGGTTTATTTAGGCCAAGTCAGCTTAGGTTGTTTAAAAGCAGTAGTCTCTTCTGGTCTCTCAAGTAATTTTGTGAAAAATGAACTTACTAGGAAAAAGGTTCACGGCTGAAAATGGAAGTTACTCTGTTACGCTGTTTGCCGACAATACGTGAAATGACTATATAGGCATTTCAGGGAATAACAGATTTCACTAATTGACGCCGAAATATATACTATTTGCCATCGCTTGTCATCAAAGTCAAAGATATATGATAATGTATATAATATATTATTTCTGTCCTGTTATTGTGTAACACCATACCAATTATTTATTAGCCATACTCCGAATTTTATATTTCGGTGCAGGTAGAACCATTTCAGGAGGTCCCAAATGAGGAAGAAGTTTAGCGACTTCTTTGTTGTGGTCAGCAAACCATTTATGAGCTAAATGGTAAATTAGGAGTATTATGAAGGTGATGGTTATAAAAGCATAGTGCCTCTTGTTATGGTGCTCAACCAAGCACATAATTGTTGTTATTAATACCTAGTTGTCAAAATTGGGTGATCCAACAATTATTTATATTGCACAAACACAACACAAGAGCGATCTATTTTATAAGTGGTTAGGTATTATTCAAGTTACTACCTGTAGATCAAAATATTTCTTATATTATGCAGAACTATTTTTGACGAAATATGCTGACTGCATAGATGCTGATTATATACTCTCGTCATTTCACCATCATAAGATTCTTTTCAGTTTTTTCCTCATCAGTTTCATTACATCAACACCGTCGAATTATATACAAAATTAACATAAATTACCTCTACCTAGTCGGAGAATGAAATATTTGGTTGATACAAGAAAAACTGTATTTCCATTCGACAAATTGTTTTGTTGAACAAAATTAAGTATTAATTCAGGAATTATCTGAAATTTCACATCAATAGAATGAACTAAACTAGGAAACTAGTCGACTTCTACCATAGAATTCCGATATATCTAGCCTTTATACTTCTATTCAGCTGATGCAAAACTATTTCAGATTGCTAATCATCCTAAGTTCGATTTATCCAGCTGATATTTCAAATACGAAGAATCAGGTTTCACGCGTATATATCTAATGGATTCGAGGCAGGCATAGACGAGGCGAAATGAACGCCATCTAGACGCGAAAATTTGACTTGATGGTCTCGATGTAGAAAGAACAAAATATTCCATTGATATGCTCTATTCAAGCAAATGATCATTGCTACATCGGAATAAGAAAACTTGTATATGTTGTTTCAAAGATATATTCTCATCAAAATGATCATTATTCCATCAAATCAACGAATTGTTCATAGTTGAATCAACATCGACATTATTTTGGATCGACATAATTTGTTTTTGAATGAAACCATATATTCTGTTGATTTAATTGATATTAAACTGTTGATTCAATTAGACTAAATTCTTGATTTGAACAAGCTGCTTCCATGAAATGATCATGTTTCTGGTTGTTTCAACAAAAAATTGCTCAGTTCAACGAAAATAATTCAAGCAAAAATAATTTGTTGATGCAACAACTCCTTTTTATCTGTGTATTCAGCCTTCAGAAAACTGTTATATTTTTTGTCAATCACTTCTTTGTCTATTTTGTGTGACTCTACCCATCAACTTCTCAGTATAGTCATATTTTGTTCCATCATCCTCCCAATTTAGAAAATTTTCATAACATCATACTAATCAGAAGAGATTGAAATTTCGAAATAAATTATTATTGAAAGTGTTTTCCATGACTTTATGAATGACACTGTATATATCTGTGTTTATAAAAATAAAATGTTGGTTCATCAATTATGATCTCTGAGAATTCCCATTTCTTCCCAGGAAACTAAGAACTCACGGCGCAGGCAGGTCAATGCTGTCAATGAAGACCTTGCTGAAATCACAGCCTGGGGAACCAACAACCTAGTTGAATTCCACGCCACCAAAACTCGAGCCTGTATTTTCTCTAGAAAGGCGGAACTCAGTATGCCCGATATTGTAATGTCTGCCACCACTATCCCCACCAAGCCCAACATATCTATGCTCAGTATTTCCATTAGCAACATTCTTTCATGGGATAATCATGTCAGATCCATCGCAAAAGCTGCTTCACAAAATCTCGGATTCTTGTTCCGTGCGAAAAGCTACTTTACACCACAACTGCTTCTCATGATCTACAAAGCGCAGATACGGCCTGTTCTAGAATACTGTTCCCACATATGGGGTTCAGAACCAAAACATACTCTCAGATTCCATCTAGAGAAGAGCCATCCGCCTGGTGGGTGACGCCACACTCACTCACTCTTTGACATCATTGGAACACCGTAGAAAGGTCGGCGACCGTTCACTTTTCTATCGATACTTCCACGGGAAATGTTCTTCGGAAATCTCTGCTAGCATCCCTTCACTAGCATTACCAGTTAGACGAACTAGACAAGCCCAGTCAGCACATCCTTTCGTTGTCAACCTCGAAATATGTCGAACAGCACTTTATCAAAACTCCTTCATCCATAGGTAGAACGGCTAGGCTCTGGAATTCATTGCCTGAGGAAGAATTCCCAACAACATAATCTCCAGAAGTTCAAAACAAATTCCAATACCTACCTCCTGTCCCTATCCTCCCTAGGAATGCACGATGTTCTTTGAACATTATAGGGATTACCTTTCGTGCGCTCCAAGCGAGAAAAAAAATGCAAAAAAAAAAAATAAAAAACAATCTGAGAAATTGTTGAATTCACTTATATACATGGGTAAATATCAGAATATAACTCGAATCGACAAAGGAAGCAGGGTCAGGTGTGATTTCAGAATTTAATTATGAAGTTGCTATATGGACCTATTCTAATCACAAACACTTCCCCACGATATCGGCTTACTTCAGAGAATATTTCCATAACAAAAAATGCAAAAAAAATCCTGTATCGGATGATGTATAATATAATTTGAACTGGCTTATGTCAAAAGCGTTGAGAGATAAGTATCGTCCAAGACCCAAGACATCGTGTCGGTTACATTCCAGCCTACACACCTTTAATGTATTTTAATGCCTTTAATACATGTGAAAATCCAGCTCAAATCTGTATTATTAACTTATCTCTCGGAATCTCCGATCCCTTCATAAATGATTTAAATATTCATGTTCGAGGTTTATCTGAAGCTGTCCTCCAGCATCTGGGTAATTTCTTGAAGGCTTTAATGTGACAAGTTTTTTGCTAGGACTTAAAGGAGCCTACGCGTCTTTGCGCAGAATTGCAGTGCCTTCAGATCATTAAGAGGAGAGGATATTAGTATTAGCAATTTCATTCGACGATTGGATCTTACGTCGTTAGTTGGCTCGTTATCTCCGATGGTGAATTGATCATCAAGTGACAAGAATGATAGCTGGAAGTTTCCCTCACCAAGTGATGACTTACACTGAGAAAATAAATGAAAATTTGTAAATGTAATGGTGGTTCCCAGCGAGCACAAACATCTCTGGGATGTTTTGGGATGTTTTGAAAATGTTGGCATGAAGGTGTTATTTTGAGACGTAATATG